AGGGGATTATAATCAATGTAATGAAACAAGTTATATGAATTGTTGAATGTGAAACTGATGATGTGCCCTGTAAACTTTCACTCAATCCACAATAAAAACTTTAAAAAAAAAACAAACAAACTGAAGGCCTTGTAAACTTTCACTGAATCCACAATAAAAACCTTAAATAAATTTGAAAAAAAAAAAGAAAAGATGTCACTTTGAAGACTAATGTATCCCGACCCAAGACATGGTATGTGTACTCACTTCATATGTATGCAAAAGTTGGACAATGACTAAGGAAAACTGAAAAAAGAATTGATGCATTTGAACTATGGTATTGGTGACAAATATTAAATTTTCAATGGATTGCCAGAAGAAAGAGCAAATCTGTCTTGGAAAAAGTATATCCAGGATGCTCTTTTAACAATAAGGATGGTAAAAATTCATCTCATGTACTTTTAATATGTTATCAAGAGAGACCAGTCCTTGGAGAAGGACACCATGCTTAAAAAAAACAGAGGACCAGAGAAAAAGAGGAAGACTCTCGATGAGATGGATTAATACAGTGGCTGGAACAATGGTCTCAGCAAAGAAAAGATTGAGATGGTGCCGGACCAGGCCATGTTTATTTCTACTGTGATTTAGAACAAACTCAACAACACCTAACAACGAGCCAGACATTATTCTTAAACATAAACACATATTTATTCATTTAATCCTCAAAACAACTGTATGTGATAAGTTATACTATTAACACCATTTTATAGATGACAAAAGTGATGCACTGAAGAAGCCACTTAACTGAGGTTTCACAGGTAGGAAATGGCAGAGCAAGAATCAAACAAGGCAGTTTAATGCCAGAATTCATATCCTTAACCACATTGTCTGAAGCATAATTCTGATCCTGACAATCTAGACAAAAGGACAAAAGGGGGTCACCAGGTTTCACTGTATGAGGAATGATTTGTTTGATGGAGGCAGGTTATTCAGTTCTAAACTCAGGGAGGAGACTGTTAAGCCTCAGGCCAGTGTGGGGGATGGGAGGTAAACTGCCACTGAGCTAAGAAAATGGAATGGCTGCTGGAGGGCCTACCAGGAGCTGAGGGAGAAGACATGGGGCTTCTGTGGGGCCTATTGACCTATGCCCTGGCCTGCAGACACTGTGGCAACAGCTGTTTCCAGAGTCCTGGTAACCTGGTAACTCTATTCTTGTTCATAGTTTGGCAGATCCGGAGGTGGCGACAGCTTGGGAGGTGGCCACATCTTCAGCCCTGGTGCTCTGGGAACATGATGCAAAACAAGGTGGGTGACTTCTGACCATGGATGTGCACGTATTGATACCCATGAAGTCAGGTGAGGCATCACTAACGTTGATGTAGGCACAAGTGAGTGACTGTAAGCCTAGTGAGACTGGGTGAGTGATCACTGATACCAGATCTAAAGCAAGGTAAGTAATCACTGACCTTCAATGTAGGGTCATGTGAGGGGTTGCTGACCCCCAAATGTTAACTGAGTAATTGACCATTAACACTAGATGAGGGCCTGGGTTAACCATAGTTGTGGGGCCAAGTGAGTAATTATTGACTCTGAATATGGACCAGGGACTGAGGGCTTCGGGAACCTTTTGTCTAAATAGGCCCCATGCCAGGTAGTCTCTTTCTCTACTCCCAGGGCCTACCACTTCTGTACCGTGTGTCTTTCCTTGACTGCCTCTGGAAGGAGATGTCAGAAGAACAGGAAGATGAAGGGACGGAGGAAGAAGAGGAGGAAGAGGATACATCTCTGGACCCATTGAAGCCTTATTCTCCTCCCAAAGAAGTTCCTATTGGAGGAAAAAACACCATATCTGTACCTCAGCTATCCTGCAGTTCTGAGGGCTTCCTCAAGGCATCAGGGACACCAGAACAAATACTCACACAGCCCCTAAACTCTTCCAGATCTTTCCCCACGTTCCAGATTCTGACCAATCTACCTGTGAGACACACAACAACACCAGGAAACCACCTGCAGCCGAGAAAAAGTCAGTTCTTCTGGGGTCTCCCCTCTCTGCACAGCGAATTCTTAGAGGCCACCTTCCTGAATTCAGCTGATCCATCTTCCCAAAAATTGTCTGTTGTTCCTTCTATCTTCTTTAATATGGTTGCCTTCCTGCCTAAACCCAATTTACTGCTTCCCCAGTACTGCCCCACAACCCAGCTTCCTACCCATCAGGCCCATACTATGGAAGATCTGAAAGGGTTGTCCCCTGATCCTCAGCTACCTCCTCCTCCAGTCCTATCCTCATCCCTCCATTTTAAGAACTTTCCTGCAGATCACAAAGGAGCCCTATCTGTTACTGAGGCAAATGCACAGTTACTCTCACAACAGAGAGATGCCCCTTGGGTCCCTAAGGATCAAGCCCTGCACACTCAGCTTGAACTTAAAAAAACAAGTCCCTTCAAGGTCCTCTCTTCATCTGAGGCTTGCTTGAGGGTACCCTGGGACCCCAGCCTTGAACAACTTAATCCAGATTCAAGTTCGGCCTCTCTCCCATATCCCTCTAGCACTCTGGGAGTCCTGACTAGGTTTGAGGCCCCAAGGAGAATTGTGGGGCAAAATGATCTCAAAGCTTCTAAGTCAGCAATGTCAGTCCCTATCCCAACCCCAGTCTCCCTGCCAGAACTCCAGGAAGCCAACCCTTTAGCAGACTTGTCTGGATCTAAAGCCCACTGGGAAATGGAACAAAGAGAGAACCCTCTAGCTGTAACTCCTCACCAACCCCTACACCCCATGACAGAGCCTCAAGCAACAAGAGATCTGGGAGTTCCACCTAAATATGAGACTCAATGGAGAACCACAATACATAAAAAAAGTCTTCAAGCTTTTGAGTCCCCAAAATCAACCCCCTTCCGAGCCCCAATTACTCTCTCAGAATCCCCCAAAGTCCATCCTGAAGAAAGACTTAATTCATCTAAGAACTTCTGGGAAACCACAGTACAAAGACAGAATCCCCAGGCCTCTGAGTTCCTATTGCCAGTCCTCTGCCTTCTCCCAACCCCTCAGTCAGAACTCCATGGAGGCAATGCTCTGGGAGATCCATTTGAATCAGAGGTCCATTTGGAACATAAAGAAAACTCAGGAAATCCCCGGGCCTTTGAACCCACAGACTTGGACTTCAACCCATGCTCAATTACTTTGCCAGGGATCTATGGAACAAGCCTTGCATATATCGCATCAGGATCTGAGGCTCCATGGAGGAACACACAGAGAAGAAAAAACCTTTGGGTCTCTGTAGACTCAGTTCTACCTCCCTTAATCTCCCTGTTGGAGTCCACAGGAATTAATCCCCAGGGAGTCCTGCCTGAATCCAAAGTTTTGTGGGAGACCATGGGGCAGAGAGAGAACCTTTGGGCCTCAAGGTCCCCAGCCCCTGTCCTCAGCTCACCTGTAGTCCACCTTCTGGAATCCTACAGAATTAATCCTATGGGAGGCCTCGAAGAATCAGAAACTGCATGGAAGGACACTGAGCATTCCAGTAATTCTTGGGCTGCTGAAGCTGCATCTCTGGTTCTCAGCCCACACCCAGCTCTTGTACTAGGATCCTTCAGAGTAAGTTCCAATGGTGTGCAGTTTGATTCTAAGGCTATATGTGGAGATATGCAAAGGAGGAAGGACTCCTGGGTCTCTGAGCTTCCAGGTTGCAGCTTACCTCAAGACCTGCATGGAGCCAACGCCCAGGAAATCCTGTCAGACTCCCGGCTTGTTAGGGAGGTCATGGAGCAGAAAAATTGTGCTCCTGTGCCTCCAGCTAGGAGCCCCAGTTTACCCCCAAACTCTGTGTCAAAGTCCCACATAATTGAACCTATTGGAGATCAATGGGACTATAGGCCAGAAGGGGAAGTAGTAGTAGAGCAAACAAAAAACTGCTGTACCACTGAGCTTCTAGCCTCAGCTCCCAGTTCACTCTTTGCCCCTACACCAGAAGTGCCCCTTGACTCTGAATTTGGGTGGGGATATAGGCAGCAAAGCGAGGTTCCTCAGGGCTTCAGTCCTCTAGCACTGGATCTCTGGCAGCCAATACTCGGGCCTTCCGCTCTAGCTGAAACTCTGAAGATTCCACGCATCCAGCCAGATCTAATCAAGGAAGAGTTATTCCCTGGAGCTAAGGAAGAGACTCCACCCTCCCAGGAAGAGGTTGTCCCAATAATACCCACCCACCCTGGAGTCCCAGGCTGGCAATGGAGTAGAGAGTTAGAACTCAGGCTGAAGAAGCTGCAGCAGAATGCTTCTTCCAGATCCCCTGGCCTAAGACAACCGCCTTGCAGTTTTCCTGCCACTAGGTCTATAACTCCGGGCTCTTGGGAATGTTCTTCCTGCAGCCCTCAGCAGGCTCCCAATGTGTGCCCCTGCTCTTCAAGTTGCCGTTTCCAAGAATTTCAGGGCATAGTACCTCAGCCTGACCAGGGCTCTTACTGTCATCACCCCCACCCCTCTTCCCAGTCTCAGTCACCGGGGTCTAGCAGGGCAAAACGGAGGTCTCAGGAAGAGGAAAGGGTGAAGAAAAAGGTGGTGGTCCAGGTCTTCTTGGAAGCTAGTGACAGGCACCCAGGTCTAGGAGAGTCCTCAAATTCTAAGGTTCCAGTTTCAGGCAAAAAGCAAAACAAGGTTTCAACCCTACCTTCAACCAGAAAGAAAGAATATCCCAAGACACCCCGGCCAGGGGGGAATGCAGTAGTGACATCATCCACAGTCACAGGAAATCATCGCTTTGCTCAGGCTCCAAGACTAGTGGAGCCCCTTGGAAACAGACTTTCCCCCACGTCTCAGTCTAAGAACCAGAGCTCTCTACACACTGCTCTCCCACGACTTCTCCCCAAGACTGAGGGTCACCAGAATCAGTGGGGGGCAGGGATGGGAGCTGGTGACATGCCAGACCCTCAGCACTGTAAGCACTGCAAAAGGTATCTGTCCTCCACACCTCAGGCTCTGCCTGCCAGGTGTCTACAAAGAGTGCTGGCCAAGTTTCTGGGTACCCTTGGACCCCAGTCTACCAAAGCCAATCAGCAGAGGTAAGGCTGATAGTACCAGCACCCACTAACCCAAGAACTGAGGCCAAATCAGACCATGGAGCAGGGAGGGCAGGAGACAAGCAGAGGAAATTCTAATAAATTAGCTGAACTTGACAAACCCTACTGTGTCTTCTTTGGAATTTAAGGTACTAGAATTGTCAGTTACCTATTTCTGCTGCAGCCATATTTCCCTTGGGATCACATCTCAAAAGTAGAGCTTAACGTTCTTTTCCAACCTTTCCCAGATGACCACATCTGTTGTCCACATGTATCTACTCTAGAGTGAGATTATAGGGCCAGGGGAGCACATTTCAATGCTGCCTAAGAGATGGAAAGGAAGAAAAATGCATCCATTCTGTGGTATAGTGGATTACTTAATTCTTCTAGTCTTTGTAATTCCTGCCAAATGTCCGTGCAGTCCTAGTATGGGGCTATAGGATAAACACTGGACTGCTAGCCACCAGTCACTCCTCGGAAACTCTATAAAAGATCACTACTGGTGTGGTGCTGAGGGTTAATGCATCAGAATGCAGACATTTGAACTGCTCCTTGGAAACCCTATACAGGGTCACTATGGGTCAGAATTGACTTGACGGCACTTAATTAACGGGAATGAACTCCATGGAATTTAACAACGGTGCTGTGTGTTAATGCATCAGACTGCAAAGTCGTTTGAACGCCAAGGTCAGCGGTTCAAACTTACCAGCTGCTCCTTGGAAACCCTATACAGGGTTGCTATGGGTTGGAATCAACTCGATAGCACTTAACCACCACCACCAGACATCTGGGTTGCTATTGTTAAGTGTCATTGAGTCAATTCTGCCTCATAGTCATCATGTAGGGTTTCCAAGGAGTAGCTGGTGGGTTTGAACCACCTTTATGGTTAGCAGTGCAGTGCTGATCCTACAGCTCCACACTAAGCAAATGTGAAGTTAGCAATCCTTATAGGGAATTAGGGGAGTCCTGGTGTGGTGCTAGGGGTTAATGCACAGGACTAAAATGTCTGTTTGAACAGCAAGGTCAGTGATTCAAGCTCACTAGTTGCTCCTTGGAAACCCTATATGGGGTCGCTGAGTCGGAACCAACTAGATGGCACTTAACAACGCAGGAAATTGAATCGCTTACTGCTAATAAGGTTAACTGAAGCCCTTGGGGTGCAGCAATGCAAATACAGCATATAGAACCCTGATGTGGGGATTGGTCGGTTTTGTCATCATTCTAGGTTTAAAATGAACCACCTCAGAGGCAGAAACAAAAAGGGAAATCTTCCAACCATTAAGAAAGAAGAGCCAAGAGTGGAATGTGTCCTTTAGATCCAAGATCCTCCTTGCTCCAGGAGACTGGAAACTGTGACAGTCACCAAAGAAACAACAGCAGCAGAACCAAGAGCGTGAGAATGAAAGATGGGCTTCCCAGCACATGAAGTGAGAAAGCTGGGTGTCATGGCTGATCTCTGCCTCATAGGAATTGGCCTTGGGCTGATGATGAGTTTGATTCTCCCTCCCCCTAGTGAAGTAAGAGGTCAGTCACGCCCTCCCACCCCCCACCTTTTGCAGATTCAGAATGTTGTTAAGTGCTGTTGAATCAGTTGAGATTCATAGCAGTTTGGAGGAGCAGCTGGTAAGTTTAAACCACTGACCTTGCAGTTCAAACCGACTTTACAGTCCAGCACATTATCCCACAGCACCACACTGTAATGTTAAGTGCTGGTCAAGTGCTGACCCATGGTGAACCTGTATAGGGTTTCTGAGGAGCGGCTGGTGAGTTTGAACCGTCAACCTTACAGTTCAAACCGACTTTGCAATTCAGCACATTAACCCACAGTGCCACACTAGGACTCCAGAATGCAGATAGCCCATAATCCTTGATTTATGGTTCCCTTCCCTTCATTTTCAAAGCTTGTTATTGTTAAGTGCCAGGGAGTCAGTTCCTACTCATAGAGACCCTGTTCCAGGGAGCAGCTGGTGGGTTTGAACTGCCAACCTAGCAGTTTTAATTTTTATGTAGTTAAATCTTTTATAGCTCCAAAACAGATTTCTCTAGGATACAGTTTAAATTGTTAATCTAATTTTTTAGTAAGGTATGATGCAGGAATCTTGGTGTAACCAGTTTTACACCAAGCCAATGGATGGACTGTAAAATAAGCACTGGATCGCAAAGGTCAGCTTGAACTGCAAAATCAAACTGTGGTTCAAACTCAATCACTCCTTGGAAACCCTATAGAAAGTTGCTGAGTTGAAACCAACTTGATGGCACTTAACAATATGAGGTAGGAATCTAAATGAATGACCAGTTTCACCAAGATAACTTTAAAATAGAATATCCATTAAATGTTACTATTGCAAAACATGGGTTTCTAAGCACATCTAAACTTCAGATTCAATACCCTCATTCAGCTTGTTCAAAACTGACTTATTTTTCCATAAACCGGGTCCACCATTCATAGCCACCTAAATCCCTAAATCAGAAACCTTGTCACCCTTGACTCTTCCTTTGTCCTTATATTCCTCCATCAAATCTATCAAACCTTGTCTCTACTTATGAAATGCATTATTAGTCTCTGCATCACCATCACTGTCTTAGCTTTAATTCCTCACTAAATTTAGTCTCTATTCCTTCTAATTCATCCTCCACATGGCTGGCTACAAGACAGAATTTCTTCAACAAGTGTTATAAAATTGAGTAAAGGGACATGACAGGTGGAATTCTTGATACATTTGTTTAAAATCAGTTGATATGAGTCATATAGGAAAACTGACCATATGCCATGAAATTTTAGTCATCTGGATAGACTCAAAAAAGTTATTTATAGCAAAAAACAAACAAGATGGCGGATTGGGTGGAAGTGCAGTAAGGAGCTCCACCAGCAACATAGAATATAGAACCAAGCAGGCTCAGGGGATGGTCCCAGAACTCTGAACCACATATAAAGTAGTATTTAGAAGGTTGGAAGGCTTACAGCTGGGGAATTTGTGGCAGAAGCAAGAAAACCATTGCTTTCTAATTCCAGACGCTCAGCTGCTTGAGGAGCTGCCATCTTGGGTGAGACCAAGCAGGGGAAGGATCGGAGCGGCCTCAGACTCCTGGCAGAACCACAGAGATAAAGGTGTGGACATTATTCTCTTTTGGTAGCTGTTCATTGGTCCCTTGCTGTCTGTGCACCTCCATTTGGGTGACTATAGGGGTGCCTGAGCTAGTGGGCACCCCACACCCTTGAAGGGTTCTACTACCCATGCACGCAGATCTCCTTGAAATTAAAAGAGACAGTTTCCAATTAAAACCAAATGGCCACAGCCGGCTCTGAACTGTTGTTACAACTAGAAAAAAGGCCTTAACGAGGATTGTGGAGCAGGACAAGCAGACAAAAAAGGAAATAGGCCAAAAATTAAATCCTAAGTTACGTCAAAACGACCAATAGTGGCATCTTGAAATTTCTCAAGAAGAAGAGTGAAAAGGGAAGTCCATTTCCTGATCACATCTACCTGGAGGCAATCAGAAAGCATAAAAAATACCAAAATACACACCCATATAAGTATTAAGGCCACAGATAACCCCTGAAGATGCCAAAAAACAGAAGCAGATGACCATATCTGCACACGTCCAGAAACGAAATAAAGTGACTGAGGCAAATGAGCTAGAAATAGATCTACACTCCATACTAGAAGATGGGCAGGCTTTGGAAATGCCTGAGAAGGAATTC